TCCTTCCCTCCTTCCTTCCTTCCTTCCTTCCTTCCTTCCTTCCTTCCACTTTTGCCAAAACAGTGTTCACTTTTGCTTTTCCTAAGATGGAATTTCCAGGGTCTGTTTGACGTCCCACGCTGAAATTAGCCGGATGGAAACAGCCATCCTCCTGATAAAATATTTTTATATATATATATATATTTGCATTTGATCGTCGGTCGAAATGCCCTCCCTCTGCCAGAACCGGCACTAGATGGCATCGTGGGCTTAGCTGGAGGAACCGGCTTATCCTCTGGACTTAGCAGCCGCCCCTCCCTCGCTGCTTAAGCTACCGGATGGCATTGCCACAACAACCAGCTATTTATTTTTTTTCCCAAACAGAAATGGCTTCTACAGGTTAAAAAAAATAAAAATAAAAACACTTTTAAAATTCTCAACGGCGTTGCAAAGCACCTGCTTCCACGCAGAGGAGATCCGGGCGGATCCAAAGAACGGGAAAATAAAAAACAACACGTCAAGGAAACGAAGGATTTGGGCCGGTTAAAACCGGGCGGAAGGGAAGAAAAATGGAAAAAAAAAAAAGACGCCACAAAAGCAAGATTTGGCCGCTTCTGAGTCTTTAGGCCCTTGGGTGGGGTTTTTTTTCGGGTCACCTGGTTATTCTGACCAGGTGAGCGATCCTACCTCTGCTCTGTCAGTATGTCGAGGATGTTTTCGGCCAGCCAGATGTTCTTGGAGGTGACATCTCCGCCTTGGGGGGGGGGGAAGAGTGAGAAAATTTCGGTCGCTGAATGAACATTTGTTTTTAAGTCGAGGACTAACAGGAAAATCAGATTTCAAAAGTTTGAGGAAAAAAAGCAAGACCAACAGGCAAGGATCAAGTCAGTTTCACCTCTTTTGCCGGGTGAATCCGACAACCGGCCCAGTCCTTGCTTGTTTGATAAAAACTTTCGGGGCAGCATATAAACGGAATAAAATATTTATTATTTTTTTTCTCTCTGGCTTTTGCTGCGTTTGGAAAAATCTCCCAGTGTGCCCAGTTCATGATTTCTCTTTTAATTAAAGAGAAATAATCCCCCCCCGCCGATACCAAAGAGAGATCAGGAATCCACCGGTGTGAGAAGAAGCCAGGCGAAACTGGCAAGGATCGAGTCAGTTTCACCTCTCCGGGGCGGAATTTCGGAACGAACCCCAGCGTCCTCTCCCCCCTCGGGGCACCCACCTGCGATCTGCTTCATGAACGTCATGCAATTCCCGTCGATGCCGATGATCCCATTCCTCACCATCTCGCGCAGCAGCCAAACCAGCTAAAAAGGAAAGAGAAATCACGCTGCCGTGTGGCTCTCCGGACGGCGTGCGCACGGGGCCGCGTCGACGCCCGGTCGCAGCCGTGTCGCAGCTCAGCCAAAACTAGACGATGTTCTGAAACTAAAATCGCAGTGCAGAAAAGGGATTTTTTTAATAAAAAAAAAGAAAAGTTGGGGTTTGGGATCGTCTCTCGGGACCCACGCTAGAGATCCCAAACGCCTGGTTCTCCTTTCCCAACTTCGCGAGGCCTCTTCGCGATCTCCTTCCTTAAATCTGAGCCCGCCGTTCCCACAGGGAACGCCGGTTGTTGGCGGGGAGGGAATCTCGCCAAAAAATGGGACCTCCACCAAGGGCCGTACGGTGTCAGGGTTCCGGCAGTTACCCCCCCCCCCCCATTTAAATCCTGAGTCTCGAGCCAAACTTCCAAGACTTCGAAAGGATTTATTGGGAGTTACCATGTCCGGCACTGCCTGGGTGTAGCGGACTCTGAGGCACATCATTCATTGTCCCCCTTGACCCTGGTTTCCCCCCTTCCCACCCCCTGGGTGTATCCTAATTCATATTCTCCAGTGGGACACCTCCATAGCCCAGAGTCATCCATCATATCCTCCAATTAGAATTTTGCATGGCAGAAACTTCAGTCGCCTAGTTACTATCTTTGAAAACATGGATGGAATGCACTTTTGGTTTCCAAGCTGCCACACTGCTCCCCCCTCCCTTTCTGTTGGCAACTCTGACAACATCCTAGAAATATTTTATGAGTGGACACCTGGTTTCAGGTGACCACAAGGGCCTCCAAGCTGGATCCTGGGGTCCCAAAATCACTTCTGGGCTTAATTTACCCCCCACATCCACCCCTTGCCCCCCCCCTCACACACACCCACATACATACACACGCTTCTCAGGGCTCAGAGAAAGGCAGAAGCCCGCTTCCCACCTGGGTGCGACAGGTGTCTTGCAGTTTGAGGTATTTCTCCATGAGAATCTGGTTCATCTTGGTCAATATGGTGCTTAGCCCATCTCGGCTCACCAAGGCCAGGTCCCGGTAACACTGCGGCACGGGGAGATTGTGGGGGGGGGGGGGACATAAAAGGGGAGAAAAGTTTGTTCTGGTGGCCGAACGCAAAGGAACAAGTGGGGTCTTTTGAGAGGAGTCGAACTGGTGGGGATTAGAGGGACGAGGGATGGATAAAAGAAGGAAGAGGAGGAGGAGGAGGAGAAAAAAGAGGAAGAAAAAGAGGAAGAAGAAGAGCGGGAAGAGGAAAAAGAGGAAGAGAAAGAGGAGGAAGAAAAAGGAGGAA